GCTGCCTGAGTCCTGTGATTAGGACCGGAGGCTGAGGCCTTATAATCCCCTCTCTATGTAACACACAGATGGTCATCCGCTACTGGGCAGCTGGGAAATGTAGGCCACACTATGTTTAGTGTGTTAAACGTCACTAGACCTGAAACAAGTATTACATTAATTGATCAATTCAATGATGGAAAAGGAAATCTGCAATCTTTTGATTAGATAACATTAGATACACTTTTTTGATCCCTAATTGGAAGTTGTTTAGATAATCCAATATAATATACCAATTGCATAGGTAATTATTATTATAATTATTATAATGACATTTTTAAAAAAAAGTGAGGATTTGCTTCCTCTTCTTATAATAAACTAAATATATCTGGGTTAATGAAGACGTTAAATTAGATTTCAGAAACTCTCTGATCTGCATTTTCTTGCATTTAATAGACAAAATAAACATGCCTTTCATGCCAGTGGGAGAAAATAAAATAAAAAACTCCCATATAATGATATTAAGCCTGACACTTGTTTTTGAGTTGCAAAGCAAGTTGAAGGTCTCTCTTCTGAAGATAACAAGGCTATTGTATAGTTCAGTCCTTATCAGGTGTTGACGGAGTTCAGCTCACTAAAGCAAACAGAGAGATGAAAGTGCATGTCTGCTTTCCAGAGTTAGTGTTACACTCTTGTTATTTGAGCCAGGAAGATTGTCCTGCCTCAAACTCATTATTGTTCCTATCTAAAATCTTTAGGCAATACATCAAGGCCTCACTGTTTTCTTTCTTGCAGCCTACCGGACAGACGAGGGAAAGCCATGGGTTTTGCCGGTGGTGAAAAAGGTTGAAAAGGTTATTGTGCACGATGACAGTCTTAACCATGAGTACCTGCCCATCCTGGGCCTGCCTGAATTCAGATCCTCAGCCTCTAAGATCGCACTGGGAGAAGACAGTCCTGCCATCCAGGAGAAAAGGGTTTGTATAGAGAAAGGCGGCACTATCTTATTTTAAATATATTTACGTATAAACTGACTGTCTGTTTCTTTTTGCCAGGTTGGGGCTGTCCAGTGTCTGGGTGGCACAGGGGCTCTGAAGATGGGTGCAGAATTTCTCAGGCGTTTCTACAATGGAAACAACAACACCAAAACACCCGTCTATGTGTCCTCACCTACCTGGGGTATGCACGCACACACACACACACACACACACACACACACACACACACACACACACACACACACACACACACACACACACACACACACACACACACACACACACACACACACACACACACACCATGTATACATCACTTCAGGGGACTTTACATTGACTTACATGCAGTTCCTGGAGACTTATCCTAACCTTAACCATAACCAACACATGCCTAACCCTAACCCTTACCCTTAACCTTACTCTTACCCTAATCCTAAACCTAACCAAGTCTTCACCCTAAAATGAATGATTCCCCTCATGGGGACCTCCAATTTGTCCCCATAAGGGAAGCCAGTCCCCCACACGTGACTATGTAAACAGATTTAGGTCCCCACAAGTATAGTAATGCTAGACCACACACATACACACACACACACACCACACACACACACACACATCACACACACAACACACACCACACACACACACACACACACACACACACACACACACACACACACACACACACACACACACACACACACACACACACACACAATCAAACAGGGGAGTCAATAGAGTTCAGATGAACATGGGAAGTCCTCATTCATTCTTTCATTTGTATTGACATATAAACAATACAATTAGAACACTGGTGAAATCATTTTTTCTCTCCATTTCAGAAAATCACAATGCTGTTTTTGCCAATGCTGGCTTTGATGATGTCCGTCCATACAAGTACTGGGATGCAGCAAATAGGGGCCTTGATTTGGCTGGTTTCCTTGGAGACCTGGAGGTGAGCAGTGTGCAAAAGGATTTCTTGTTCTATTTCAGTTCAGCCATGAGTCATTTTATTAGGAGTTTAAATCACTTCTTCTTATTTCCCACAGAGTTGTCCAGCACACTCTATCTTTGTCCTGCATGCCTGTGCGCACAACCCAACTGGCACAGACCCGACACAGGAGCAATGGCAGCTGATCGCAGAAGTTATGATGGTATTATACACACACACCACACACACACACACACACACACACACACACACACACACACACACACACACACACACACACAACACACACACACACACACACACACAAACACAACCAATACTGTGTCTCTACGGCTGTCCTTTTTGTACACGTTTGTCAATGCTGAACATTTATTACAGTATGATAATTGCTTGACCTTCTTTCTTTCCAGAGGAGGCAGCTGTTTGTGTTCTTCGACTCGGCTTATCAGGGTTTCGCCTCAGGCAATCTGGATAAAGATGCCTGGGCGGTCCGCTACTTTGTCTCCATGGGCTTTGAAATGTTCTGCGCTCAGTCTTTCTCCAAGAACTTTGGCCTCTACAGTGAGTGACCCCTGTGTTCCTTAAGTTGTACATTGCTTGCTTTCAAGAGAGCGATAAAGAGTGATAGTCTTTGTGCTGTTACTAATCACAATAACAGTCACAAAGTGCTTTATATAGCAACATGTTTACAGTGGAATTAAGGATAAGAGCCCAATTTAGATTGTGTTATCATACCTCACAGCTCTCTTACTTTCAAACATGACAAAATATTGTACATGATCGACACAGCTTAATGTTCTCGTTTACTATGATAAAAGCACAGTGGGTGTTGTCAATGTTGAAAGTTGTAGAAACAAGGGGGGTGGGTTTAAGTTATATAAGTATCACATTGCTTATCTTTTAAGATTCTTAATCAATTCACAGCTTTAAAAACCTGTTTCAATCATTTGCCTCTACCTTTAGACCAAGTCAATTTTGTGTATTGTTGCAGTTAGTTCTATAGGAGTCTGCAAAGTGGACTTGTTGAGTAAATCCTGAAATTCGCAACCCTATATAATTAATTGAAAATCATTTAGAAGTCAAATTGTGACCCCAAGAATCACGATCAAATGTGTGACATGTGTGTGCAAACAGATGAGCGTGTGGGCAACCTGACCATCGTTGCTCGTGATGCAGACAACCTGAAGCGAGTGCTGTCCCAGATGGAGAAGATTGTGAGGACCACCTGGTCCAACCCACCCTCTCAGGGGGCTCGCATTGTTGCCGTCACTCTTACCTCACCTGAGCTCTTCAGTGAATGGTCCGTACAAAATACCAAAGCACTGTATCAGGTATAACGGTTATAATAATGTATTATTTTGATATAGAGTTGTTTTTTACATTTGTTTGAGTGTAGGAAGGACAATGTGAAGACCATGGCTGACAGGGTCCTGTTGATGAGGGCTCAGCTGAAAGCTAAGCTCCAAGCTCTGGGGACAGCAGGCACCTGGGATCACATCACAGAGCAGATCGGCATGTTCAGCTTCACAGGCCTCAACCGTGAGTAAACATTGTTTCAGTTCGGAACATGTTAAGATCACAAACACTTTTATCATCGGTACATAAAAAAACAACATGTAGAGTGACCAAACTTATCCCGAATGTATCTCCTTTTTGCAAAACTCAAAAGAGCTTGCATTATATCATTTTTTTGATTAACACACATATCTTTACAGGCTCTGCAAAGTGTCACATTATTAATCAATGAATAATTAAATGTGGTTATTTCCTGCAGCCAAACAAGTGGAGTACATGGTGAAGGAGAGACACATCTACCTGATGGCCAGTGGGCGCATCAACATGTGCGGTTTGACCTCCAAGAACATAGACTACGTGGCAGAGTCCATCCATGAGACTGTCACCAATGTCCAGTAAAAGACTACACTACCCACAGTTCTTAGTACTTCCTCCATTCTGACCTCAAGTCACCTGATTACAGGGAAAGTATTTACTTTCTAGCTGATTTCTTAGGGCGATCATACATTCTCATTTGCACAAATATACAGACAGCCCTCACCTTTCTATAGTGTTTGTGCTAAGCTATTTCAACACACAATTGGGACTTATTCCGTTTATTATTTGTCCACTAGTTGTCTTTATGTTTCCTACTTATAATAAGTATTTCAGTGTATGCGTCACCACTCACCTTTTGAGAAGGTTGGTACATCTGTGTGACAATTATCTCAGCAGTGCTGACTCAACTTCTTGTTTAATGTCATACTGCTATGATTCATTAATTCTAAGTGTTGATAACGCATTTCCAATTGTATTTAACCTGCCGTTATTAGCCTGTGTGATTACAGTTAAGAGCACCTACCAAACTGACTAAATGTGTTCAATTAGACAAACAAATTATAGTAAATGTATTTATGTTCTCTATCATGAGTGAAGAGGTACGTTTAATGATGCCGCATGAACAAGAGAAGAGTGTTCTCAGGAAGATATCTTGAGCAATGTAATTTATTAATTAAACTGTACATCGCCGAAAGGGGTTGTACTAATTACCTAAATTATAATCCGTATTTTTGAAGTGTTTTATTTGTAGTTTCTGCTCAGTTAGCACAATGGCACTGAATTATCTTAACAGGTTTTGAGAGTCATCCCTGGTTTGGGCTCACAGCTGAAGGTTGTGAGGCTTCTGGTTAAATCAGGCACCTGCAGGTTTAATGTTAAGTTTGCACAGCGACTGCCTGTTTGTATCAATAGTGCACTATTATGTAAGACCCTCATGTCAGTGGCAAAAACACACTAATGATCAACCAGTTTGCTATCGTATCACTGTGCACAGTACAGCAATAAAGCAGTCCTATTGTTTAGCAATTGAAGCAAAACATACTTTCCAATGAGATGAATGAGTTAATCTAATAAAGAACTATAACTCTTATGTTTGTTTTGTCACATATGTTGGAATTGATTTAATGATAATGTTTGTATAAACGCAACGGCCTTTAGAAACCCATGTGAGAGGTCTTAGAAAAATCGAATGCAGGTAACACACTCCATATTCGAAAACAAAGAAGAGTACACAAGAATAATATTTCAGTCCATTTATTAATTATTTGAAATCCCTTTTGTCGAACATTATGGTATGTCTTCTCATGTATTTTGGTCACTTTTTTTTTTTAGAAATAGAGATTTTTACATTAGAAAATGTATCTTTGCCTTTTTTTAAGTAAAGTATATAATTCTTCACAAATATAAATCAGTGTTAAACAACTGCAAAATCTCTGTGAGCATTCAGCTGAGACACTTTCTGATTCACACAAATCCTCTTTCACTGAGTCAGTCTGTCGGATCAAATGACTTCCTATTGGATGTTCAGCGTGCAAAGAGGGGTCGATGTGAATAGCTTAGCAGTGCAGTTCCCTTTGTACTCATAAAGCCTTGTGTGTGTGTCAGTGTGTTTGACGGGAGGTGGTGGCTTGACGTCAGTGTGCGTCATATTGCTTGCCTCTTTCATATCTCTGTCTTGTTCTTGCGTACCTGCCAATATTTCACAACGCAGAGCAGCTTAGTGCAGTCTGAGCTGCAGCTGCTACTGGCATTTTGAAAAGGATCAAATCATTATTTCATTATTGCAGTAATAGATGATTTCTAGAAAGATGGCTTGATTTTTTTTCCTTCAACAAGCAGCGTTGTATGGTTTCCCCCATTAAAACTGCAGACTTCTATTATCTCAAAGATCTTAGTATTACTGCAGATCTTCCTTTGCATGCATCCCTTTGCTTAAGCATGCATATGGAAAAACAGGGCTTTCTACAGGGGATAGTTCTACAGTAAAAGCAGCATTAACAAACATGCAGGTAGCAACTACTCTTTCCTCGAGAATACTCATAACATCCATTTGGATCCCTAACCGCAAACCCCCCTACCCCTAGCTTATTTTTAATTGGTGTATGCTGTTAAAGTGAGATGAACTGTACATAGAGGATTGGCTAATGGTAGCTAATGGTAAGAGTTGATCACCACTACTTGTTCTGAATGCAAGAAACAATAGGCTGATTATTTGAAAGACGGTGGTTACAGTACATCTAGAGAGAAGGGAACGTTTTAAAGGGAGAACAGACAGTATGTAGGGCACATGCAATAATGTGTGATGTTGAAGCCATTTACAGTATGTTGGATAACTTATATATATATTGCTATCTTCCAATTACTTTTGGTAATTCTAAAACTTTTTATATAAAAATTGGGTAATAAATGGTTTTATTTCAAGCTCAGGTCTTTTTCAAAATTGCGCATACCCCTTTGAACTTGCTCAGAGGTCAGTGTATACAATAATTCAAGCTGATTTATGGCTTTTTTCATAATTGTGTTCTTAAAATCTGGCATAAAAATGGTGCTCTTGTCTTGTGGCTGTTTCTTCATAGCCGATGGCTAGTGTGTCTGGTATTGTTGGCAGTATGTGGCACCCTTATGGCAACATTAGGAAAGTTCCCTGTGCAAATAACTTCATCAGTATGTGGGAACTTCCTCATAATAACAAATAAATAATAAAAACTCTTGTATTAATTGTTTGATCAAGTAAAGCTGGCTCAGATATTACATTAGGACCTTGTGAGGCTCCATATTGAGAGATCTGGTGGAGACCATATGGCTTAAATGAGATGATAAAATTGTCACATTATGGGTAAAGCTACCATAGAAATATCTTCTCGGTTTACTACTTGAAAACCTTGATAAAGTCCAGTGTAAGGCTGGAAAAATCCAATAGTATATTTATTCGATTTTTCCAAAAGTAATATTATATTAAAGTTTTTTTTACAGATCTGTTCCACTTATTATAATGTTAAGGGTGTGGAGTCAGGCAGTGGTAGGACCATGTGTGAGTGGGGTCCTGAGTGTTTCTACATCTCATGAGATGGCTCAGTTGTTCAGGAGCACAGAGGGAGTCTATGAGAGGTTGGTTGTTCAGTAATGAAAACCCAATGAGTGAGTGATAAAGAGGAAGAAGCTTCATCCCTCTTCCTCAGCGTCACTGTGCTAGCTCGTCACTGGTGGTTGCTCTGAACCTTCCTCCAAACAGTTTTCTCCATCCCGAGACTTTTTCCTCCTCTTGTTACCTAGAAACAGGAGGAACCAAGGTCATTGCTTGATAAACACCTTCCTTTAACTGTAGTTTCATCCATTATATCTTGCTTTCCTTATCTTTACATTTGCTATATATTGATTGTTTTTAAACAAACTCATATTTGCCGTTAACTTAAATAACGTCAGCTGCATCAGGCAGCGCAGATACTGCCTTGATGAGTCATATCTAGACCAACAGATGCATCCGGAGAATCTGCTCTGCTAAAAAAGGTTGGAGCGAGGGACACGACACATCACCTGTTGCTAAGATACACCACTTTGTCTGAAAGAGAAGTTTGGGCACATCTGACGGTGAGTGTGTGTGTGTGTGCTCTTCCATCGATGTTGGTGACAAATGTCTTACTCACTCAATTTACGCAATAGCTTCTTCCCAATGTTCTCCTCCGAGCTGGACAGAGACAGAGAGCTGATGAAGGGAGAGGCAAAGGGCGGGGACTCTATAGGCACGTCTGAAAGAGAGGATGAGGATAAAGAGGGGATACAGCAGGAATGACAGACAGAGCAGATTGACTAGAACAATTCCCCAGACCTACAATGATATGAACAGTTTACAGCCTAGACGTTAAAATATAAAAACTGCATTGTTAGGAAAACTGGTTTAGAGTAAGCAGACTGTGATAACAAGGAGGAAACGCGTTCTTCTGTAATAAAACTATTTTAATCTGACATGCTAAAATTAAGTGTAGTAGTGAAGAAGAAGTACGGTAAGTAGTCATAAACTCAGCAATGTGACTCTGTAATGTTGGTATAATGTAGTATAATATTACCTTGCATAAGCAAATATAATTAAATAATTAAAGCTGTAGCAGCTAATGAGAAATTAATGTGTTGCATGTGGATTAAACTTTCATTTGGAAAAGGGAGAAGGTGCTATATCTTCATTAGAATGTTTCAGAATTATTTATGAGGCTAAATTGCACTGCCTTAAAGGGATATTTCACTATTTTTCATAAAAAATGAGTAACGAATTGTCTATGCAACTTTTTTTTAACCGTTTCAGTCAATGTAATATCTCTATCGGCCTGCCTATGATTAAAATAAAAAAAATAAAAACTTGTGTACATTTGAAAAGGAACTAGCTACTAGTCATTTTTGAGTTTTAACTGAGACTGAAGAGATTCAGTTTTCTGAGCTTGTCTCCTCCAGGTCAGGATCCATGCAGCAGCACTCACCATTCTCTCCATACGTTTCCGGCCGATCCTCGTGGATGTAGGGAATCTCGTCCAAGCGGAGGAACACGGTATCATTTGGACTCCTCTGCCCGTCAGATTTGCTGCCTGTAAAGATAATTGGACCAATCAGCCTTCAATGTACTACAGGTATCCAAATAACAGCAGCTGGTTTCTAGCTCTGCCTGTAGAGGGAGGTAGAGAACTTGCTATGTATCAGTCGTTGTGTTAATGCAGATCCAACTCAAAGTGAGCTACAGCCAGTGGAGGAGATTTAATTGGTGAAATAAGATTGAACATAAAACCTGGCTGTTTATAACTGGATGCTGCTGCTTTATTGACAACCAACAGAGCCATCTGTGCAGTGTTTTTTTTTAATGACACAACACCAAGACACACAAACTGGGTGGCGTGTTGCTCAGTGTGAGACAGATGGTATACAGGAAATCCTTTAAGCTTTGAAACCAGTACAGATTGGTTGATGCCACGTTTGCACCCAGTTGTGAATGAGTCATTATCAACATATGTAATTCATTATTTACTGATGTTAAAATTATAAAAAGTAATAATTAAACCTACTATTTTGACAATATGCTGTGTGTAGCATTTAAGCTAATTTTCATAAATTAAATCAGATATTTTGGGTTTTTTAAAATGTCTGTGGGGCTTTTTTACAGAATGTATCATCATTCGACACGCCAGTCAACACATTATTAATTTTCAGGTTGCCCCTGACCCGTCAGAGTATCCCACATTTAAGTGAATCATGTATTGCTCCTGTCAGGCAGGTGTTTGGCTCCTAGCCCACACATCACTCCAATCAGTGTGATAGATCCCCTGAACCTCCTTTTTTCTCCTCTTCAAAAGAAAACACTACCACTCCAATGAATCCTGACCTTCATCTTGAGCTTTATTGAGCTCAATCTTCATTTACATTTCAGAGCTCTGGTGTTTCTTTTATCCAGAGTGATGGCAATGTTGGGTACTAAAAGATTGCATCCCACACATTGAAATGTGAAGGATATAAGAAGTGGAAGCTAAAATGGAAATTAGCATTTGAGTAGCAATTTTCATTCTTGCGTCAAACAACCTCTAAAATAGCATTGAAACATAAAAAGGATAATTAATAGAGAAAGTAAATGAATTTTGGGTGAAATTGACCCAACACTAATGAAACATTTTCAAGATTCAAATCGTACAAGAGTGTACTTACGAACAATTCGGTTCCTCGCATTGAGCTGGGAGGTGTTGCGAAGGCCACCGTGGGGATGGAGATGTGCAAGGCGGGCCAGCCCCAGCCGAGTGTGTGTGTGTGTGAGGGGGAGGGCAATGCTGTGTGAGCGGACCTCTGGGACCGCAGGCCTCCCTTTAGCATCAGGATCCAGGGGGTCTGGAGTCTGAGGGGAGCTGTTCCATCCTGGTGGCTGTGAGGGCGTTCTGGTAGTGGTTCCTGGTGATCTGTGGGGAACAAAAATCTAGTTTTAGCTTCAGTGGCGGGAGGAAACATGGACTGTAATGCAGAAAGGGGAGGAGAGGTGAAACGAGAGGGCATAACCACCATTTATTCATGGTTGAAAAGGAGCTCAATTATCCCCAGTGATTAAAGGAGAGAGGGTGTGTGGAGGGGCGAGCGAGAGACAGGATGTCTGTGTTCAGTCAGAATCAGGGATTAGGACATTTCAAAGGCACACACTGCATCAGAGGAAGAGTTTCTGGGTTAAAAGTGCAGTTCCTTGCTTTTGCTCCAAATGTTTTACTTTAACTGTGCAGGAAATGATACATTTGATTGAGATTATAATACCAGCAATTGATGTTTTTTTTTTGTTTCTGTTTTGTGTGCGTGTAGCTGTTCATGTTTGTAACCTTGATGATCTGCAGGTCTGTTAGCTGCCGGACTGAGTAGTCTGGCAAGTAGACCCCCCCTCCTGTAGTGAGCTGACCCGCACTGCCTCCACTCAGCAGTGATTCTGAGTGGTTCAGACCACTGCCCCGGGAACTATATCTCCGACCTGAAAAGGACAAGAGGGCTGCTTTTAGTTATGCGTTTCAAACATACGTCATCGCTATTACAGTAGGTTAAAAAAAACAAACAGTGAGGTCAAAGGGTACAAAAACAGTTAACACGCCAACAATCCTATAAATCCTCCTTCATTCATTATCTATAGTCTTTTTTTCTTTATATACTTTAAGGTGCCTTTTTTTTAGTGGGCTTAATGTTTACTTTTAAATAAAGCTATAAGAAAGCAGGGGAAATGTTGGCAGCAACTAAAGACCTCCAAAGAAAATATATTTTAAAAGATGATGTGTGGTGTGAGACATAAAAGTACTTTGTGTGCAGTTGTGACAGGTCCTTTTTATTTGCTTATATTATTCTCTTTGAGCTGAGCACTGCCTAGCTGAGTGGCATAACATGCTGTCAGAGAGCGAGAGAGAGAGCAAGTACTTCTTCAGCTGCTTAAGAGAACATTTCAGCTTTGTAATGCCCTTGAAGGGAATTTTCTAAAATGTAATGGGGTCTTCCAAATTGTTTTAAGCTCACCCTGAACATCACACATGGAAAACATGCAAAACAACCACAGCAAGAAACAGAGGGAGAGCGATTGGGAGACAGGCTTTCTGCGGGTTCTGCAGTCTTAGCAGGATTTCATATAATCCTGTGCAGGTCATGTCCTTCCACTGGGAAATTCTCTGAAATCACTTCTTTTAATTACTTACTTCCCACGGCTGCTGCTGCTGCTGCTGCTCTTACAGGCTGACGCTATACAGATAAGAAGCTGGGTGGGATTTAAGACTACAAAAACATGTCCAGCCCTGCATTAGTTCTATGATTATTATTCTTGAACTGTCATTACTACCAGTCTCATGGTAATATTGCTCTGTATTGCTTGATTTGTACTCACCAATAGGCAGGGGCATGATGACTGCTGGCATGCCATAATGTGAAAAAGCTCCATTTTCAAAGTGAAGAGCCTCCTTTCCGATTTCTACCTCCACCCGTCCCTGTAAGATCCACACAACAATTGACATACATTAGCATGATGCTCATGGTAGGACATTGATTACTCATGTAATGGAGCCTCCCACACAGGAAATGAACACTGTAATTATAACATCCAGATACGGAGTGATTATTGCTGTGTTTCATAATTCTTCTGCAACATCTGAATTAGTATTATTATCTGGCATAGAGATGGTGATATTTACCTGCAGAACGAGGACAAAGTAGTCCACAGGTTTGTTTCTCGTGAAGAGGTAGTGTTGAGGAGCGTGTTTGTTCTTGGGGTTGAACTTGAGTTCCTGCACAATGCTGGGATGTTTGATGAGACGCAGCAAGATCTTGTCTGACAGGTGACATGGCCTAAAAGGCTCCACCTCTATAAGATAGATGCATATACACACACACACACACACACACACACACACACACACACACACACACACACACACACACACACACACACACACACACACACACACACACACACACATACACACACCACCACACACACACACACACACACACACACACATACACACACACACACACACACACACACACACACACACAAAAAAGAACATCAGGTTCCCAGTCACCTTGTCCTCAGTTTATCCTACAATCCACTGTGGGCACCCACGAATACTCGGCATACACTGCATGCACACATCCTGAAACACATGTACGCTGTTACCTGTTGCCAGGAAGCGGTGTGTTGCGAGCAGCAGCTGGGGTGAGATCTTCACCTTCAGCTCATTTTCTGCCAGTTTGAAAATGGAGAAATCCTGTGGTTTCCTCTCCTGGTGGGACACTCGCCTTTTGGTCCGATTATCAGCTATAATTAGAATCAGAATCAAGTTTATTGCCTGGTAGGTTTACACATACTGTACAAGGAATTTCCTTTGGCATCTGGTGGTGTGAACATAAACAATCAAAAAATACAAGTTGCAAAGTAGGTAAAAATAAATAAATATATAAAATAAATAAATAAAAAATAAGTATTTTTACAAAACAATTTAGCATAGAAAAGGATGCTAAAGACAAGTATGTACACCAAATGTAAATGTATATACAAATAACCTTAAAAGCTAAAAAACACACTTAGGACAATGAGTATATCATTATGGCAAACTAAAGTGTATTATATTTTAAAGTGGAGGGCTGTGCAGACATGTGCAAAAAGCAGACAGATTGCAAATCCTTAAATGCACGGTATGCAGTTCAGATTTCACATTGTTTTATATACTCTATAAATAGATGAAATGAAATGTGTCACTCATTCACTCGTTAAGTTTGCCTAACACTGTAGTTATGCTTTACAGTATACAGTATTCTTGCTGGCACTACAAGGAATGAGAAGCTACTTTAAATTGCCCCTGACCTCATTAGTTGATGCCACTAAGAAACGCTACAAATATATTAGTTGGATTATCTATCCCCAGCTGCAGATTGCTTGATATTATCCAGCATTCATTGATGAATTGACTTATTCTCAGCAGAAGCCAGAAGCATTACATGCATTATATCGCATTAAATACATCGTAGCTGTAGCAGGAACAGCTGGTGCAATGAAGCCTGAGGTGCAACGTCTGGAGAGTTGAGCTCCCCTGTTCTAAATATACACACACATCATTATGCACAAGGGGAAACACAGAAGAAAGGAGTTTATGAAGTGCATCCCTGACTGTTTTACACACTCTGCATGTAATTAAAATGGCAGCGCACATAAAAATGTCATGGTCAGAAGTTATTCTCCCAAATGTTGGTTAGTAAACTTCAGTGAGTAAAATGAAAGCACCGATCTGATTAGAAATATAATGAGGGGAGTTTGGCATTTGACTTCCTTTCTGTGGAGAGCCTTGCGAGCCAATTAAAGATGAGCGGATTAAAGAGATTATCTGTGGGACTGGGCCATTTACTCTCATTATTTAATTATGCAGCAGCGCGGAGCTGTGAGCAGCAGGGGAGACAACTTGGGATCAATAGTTTAATAAGAAGCAGGATATAGGGTGGAAAGGAAATGTCAATGTCCTTTAAAAGCTACCTTTTAATAACCCATCAAATGGTAAGATAGTGCATTAGTTGTTGAAGCATTTTCATATGATATTGCAGACCACACAGCTGAATAAACTCTGTCAGTGGTTTTGACAAACTGAGGGAAAATCTATTCCATGTGGGAGCTGGAAATATAATGAAATGGATTCACAGCTAATGTAACAGTGACCCAGAGATTCACAATCAGCGTGTTTTATGCTTCATACGTACTAAACAGGTCTGTCTCATCCACAATCTCAGACTTGATGATCTCCTCTATGACGTCCTCCAGGGTGACGATGCCCATCACTTCATAGAAGGGGTCTCCTTCACCTTCGCTGTTCACCCTCTGCACCACGGACAGGTGGGACTTCCCTGCATTGGTCAAAAGAGAAACGAGGTGAGTTCAAATGTTTTCACAACGTAAATTCAAACTAGCGGCTACTGGATAAAAAACATCACAAGCCTCCAACCGGATGTGGGCAGTCAAGAGGAAAATGAATACTAGAGCTGAGAGGCCATACATATGGGTACATCTATTTTTAGTATTAAATTATTCCAATGTCAGGAATTCACTTGTGTGTGAGTGTGAGACTAGAAGAAAGTGGGCTTTGGGGGATTATTCTGGAGACAGTTTGACAGTTTGGAAGACTTGGGCCCCTTACGTAAACACAGATTATGCAATCAGTCTGGGGATGCCTGCGTCTGCTGACTAAACTGCCCATGCCTCTGCCACCCCCTGTAAACACACACCAACATACACACACGTTACACATCCATGAGCGGACCCAGCGCTCCCTCTCAGGCAGAGTTAGGCTGAACGTGACAAGCCTGCCAGATACAATGACACAGCTCGCCAACAGCATCTCCAGTCAACGAGTCAATAAAACCGATGTGACAAGAAGTTAAAGGTGCCATCACACTCCAACATCACCAGGGGAGAAGAACAAATTAACATGAACACGTCAACCATCACACTATTAGTTGTTGTATAAGATAATATAAAACTATTATAATGCTCAATGTATTTAACGTTTTCATCATGACCGTCACTGTCACTATTCTTCTTACGTCAAATAAGTTATCTAACCGAGTGTATGACGTCACTACACAGATTTCAACAATCTCCAACCTTACTTTGAACTAAATCAGTGGCTCATAGTAGACGGGACGATTTAGGTGGGATCACTGCCAGGGGATAAAATAGATCAAACGCTTTAATCCACTGCAACAAGACCAACAATAACCTGATTGACCGACATGCAGCCATCTCCAAACATGAAACTCTGGCTGAGATGACGCGGATGTACTCAGGGCTAAGGTCAACTTGTCTGAAAAGCTCAGGTGACTCAGTGAAGTGGATTTGCCATCAGCTGCTGATGTGCCTGGGCACTGCATTACATCATTCACATGTTACATAATACTCCAACAGAACGACACACACACATTCACCAGACTCACACACGCAGACACAATGCCCGTGGCTAGCATGGATGTCCCTTTTGCGAATGTTTCTGCTCCGGCAGTTTCCCAGGCTCCTCCAGTCTCTATGTTGTTTGAGATCATAATGCTTAATATGTTAGCATACAATTGTGCACTTGCTGTCTGGCATTCTGCAAACATTACACAAACAATACTATGTATGGAAATGATATTATTTATATTTATTCAGCTTTTTTTATCATGTTTCGAACACATGCACACACAACAGTTTACGCATTAATTTAGCTGATAGCAACTACAATGGCTGCCTATGATTTGTTGTGTGTTCACCTATATTTATTTTGTGCATTGTTTAGCAAGGTAAATGGTTTCTTTAGTCGATTTGTATGCAGTGGTAAAAGGTTCTCAATACATTTGCTAAAATGCTGCTCTTAAATCAAATGTTGGGTACTACTACGCTTCTACTCCACTTCAGTTTGAATGAATACCATTTGGTTGAATACATTCTGTCCGGATAAAGATTTTACCTTCAAAACATCTGATCAGCTTATCAAATGTGAAACATAGTGTTATTGATTAAGCTGTCAAACAGTGTACTAAGTAGTTACAATGAGCACCTTAACTACATCAATGCATTCGTATGTAATATCAAATTGCATTATACCGACAGGGGCCAATCTGCACTACTTTGATACTTAAATGACATTTTCTGGCTTATACTGACAATTCACAAAGTAGTACTTTGCTTTAAACATTGTTTTATGGCTTTATGGTTTTATTGTTTCAGTTATGTATTCTTCTTTCTCTGTCTCTCTATGCACCACTTATACCAGCGCAAATTCCTGTAAACCTACTTGGTAATAAAACTGATTCTTGCCTTGCTGTCGCTACTTTGCATTACCTGAAACATATTAAAATATTAATAGCAGATTTTGGGTTGCTCATAAAAGCATTGCTTGCCATATAAAGGTTAATATTTTACACTGTAGAGCACATTCGCAGTCATCCCTTACATTTCTTTCATTACTGCTGACATTTCCGTCCTTTCCTCTAACACAAACCTCACCCCAGCCCCCCAGCCTCCTCAGTGGGATGCCCCCACTGCTCCCAGCCAGGCTTCCTGACAGCAGGAGCCATTAATCCCTGAGAGAAAAGTAGGAAGGAGTCAAGAGGGGTCAAAGAAAAGGTTGGAGATGAATTTTTCATGGTTGCTCGGCAGGTTTGGAAGGCGAGGACCCACAGAGAGAAGGAAGCTTCAAAGTCACCGCGGGCTGACAGTTCGGAGCGCACAAACATTTTAAAGGTGAAGCCTGCTTTCACCTTTGAGCCTAACCTTATCTATAAATAACAGACAATATGGCAACACACAGGGTCAGGCAGGGGCCCATGGATCACTTGTGTCAGACTGAAGCTATCCTTCCTAATCCTGAGAAAAATAAAGATGTAGACCTCCTGGCCTGTAAGTGGCAATCTAATTTATGATCCTGCCAAAGTCACCACAGTGTCACCTTTCACTTTCTCATTTGACAACTGCTGCCTCTGCACTCCAACCCACATCTATTGAGCTCTCTTTGTCAATGAAGCAGATTTACATCTTAATCCTCCCCCCCAACATAAGCCAATGTCAGTGAAGTCCTTACATAACAGTCGTCCCTGTAGCCTGTCATATGTCTCTATTTTACCTTGTGACAGAATCAGTGGGACAGTTTAAGCTATCTGCAGCAGGGCATCGGTACATAATCATATTCAACGTTATCATCGAGACTGGATGAGGAAAGGTGGCACACTTGGTAAACGGATGCTATCAGCATGTGTATGAGGGACTGCAATACTGTGAAAGCACTCGCTAAAGAGTCTTATCAGACAAAAGATGTGTGAGTCAGAGGAATAGACATGATATTCATTGCCTCTACTGACATTTGAGCAAGCTGGCCCAGTTGCTTGATTCCTTTTTGAAATTAAAGTGTATATTTGATAACTGATACACATGGCATAGTATATAAAGAGGAAGCCAGCATGAGGGTTGGGGCACTACATAAATTCTTAAGATAAACCCATTCTGGTCTTTGGCAGCCTCTAACTCCTGGCTGACCCAAACTCACTGTGTGACACTGTATCAGATTTCACATATGGCTCTCACTGTTCTGGGGATCAAAAGGATTCTCTGGCAGGCCCACTGTGAGCCGATGATGTGATGTATACATTGATTTCTGCACTGAAAACATAGTATTTAAGTGCACACTCACTTCAAAAGACATCTAACTCCTAGGTGGCAGGAGGCAACCTTGAGACTGTTCCAAAACCAACATATGGCGCCTCACACACTCATAACTGACTGCTTGGCCAAAAGTTATAAGTTCTTGACTTGTAAAAACAAAGGACACGCCTCCCTCCTGCAGAGCACTTCTGAGGCCTGACCTCTGAAATGATTTAAAGTGGAGTTACCTCTCTTAAATTCCTCCAGCATCACATCCAACTTGGTGTCATTGAACACGCTGTGCATGGGATGCTTGTAAAACTGAGTGATCGTTTTTAGGGGAGTGCAATCGTCAGGATCCACGAAGGCCAAGTCTTTCACAAACAGGATGTCCACTATGTTGGACTTCTCGTTCTCGTAGACCGGGATCCGGGTGAAGCCGCTCTGCATCACGTCCGACATGGTGCAGAAGTCCAGGACGGCGTCCGAGGACAGCATGTAGCAGTCAGAGAGTGGGGTCAGCACGTCCTCTACGGTTTTGTTCCTCAGCTCCAGGGCCCCCTGGATGATGTTCAGCTCCTCTTTAACCAGGTCGTGGTACGGATCTGTGACGCGCAGCATGGCCACCAACTTCTCCCTGGTGTAAAAGTTGCTGATCTCTTGGTGCAGCATGATGTCCAGGATCTTGGAGACTGGATATGCGATGGGGAAAAACACCAGCATCAGCAGGCGGGTCGCGCAGAGGGTCTTTGAGGCGATGGCGAGACTGTGCCTTGACGCCAGGGAGTGAGGTAAAATCTCTCCAAAGAAGAATATTCCCAAAGTGCATGAGGCTGTTGAGAGAGCAGTCAATCCTAAAATCTGGCACATCCACACCACAAAGCATGTATTTGTAAGCACGTTTCCCAACACTACGGTGCAAAGGATGTAGTTTCCATGTTTACGCACTGACTCTATCTTCCGTGCATATTTCTGCTCCTTCTCTGTGCCACTATTCTGCAGGACCCTCAGCTCCACGGGGTCCAGAGCCAGCATGCTGATGTTCAACCCGCTGCAGAGGGCAGACAGTCCTATCAAGAGCACCGAAACACCCGCCTGGAGCCAAACATCTGCCTCCGGAGGTCTCTCCACCACCGCCAACCAGAAGTCTTTGGTGGTGAAATGTTCCCATTTCACTCCATCAAATGCGCACATGGAGTAGTATTTGATGAGCTCGCCTCTGCGCAGGTCTTTTGCGAGCAGCTCTACCAAAACTGAGTTGTGACTTGATGTGGATCTGAAAGAGCCCAGCAACTCGATGTCCGAGCTCCGGGCATCCTCGTCCTCGCACGGATTCCCTCTGGACCTGTCATTCTCCGTGTCCCCACTGTCCCCCCCTGCTTCCTCTATAAACGCGATCCACGGAGCGGCAGGAGCAGCGTCAGGTCTTCCGCTGATGTTCAGGTG